TGAATCCTCTGCCCACACCCTGGCATGCTGGTGCTGATGCTTCCCCCTCCCCCCCCAGCCCCAAGCTCTGCGGGGACCACAGATTTTGAGGCCATGCCCAGGCACCACTCTATCCTGCTGCCCAGGAGAGTGATGAAACTCAAGGACCTCTTTCCAGCACCATCTTTCACCCATCCGTGTTTAACTGCGGCCCTGGGCCCATCCAGGGAAAACCACAGAAAATACCAAGAACCAACACCTGTGAGCACTTGCTGTGTGCCCAGCGCTGCACCAACCCTGGTCCCCACCCATCCCCTCCACCATCCCTGGACACAGAGTCCTTCCCTGACACACAATCTCAGGTAGTGAGTGGGGAGCATTTTTTCTGAACCCCTTGCCATGGGCCTCTACAATAGCCTCGGATTTACCCTCCATTAAGGACCCGGGTTCTCAACATTACCGGAATCAGAATGCCTTTTTGAGGCTGGGTCAACTGCTGGCAAAACCCCAGGAAAATGCACAAAGAGGCACGATCTATCAGGCAAATTCCCAGGGACTCTCCCTCCCACCCCGCCTCCACCACCGCTCTAGCCATTGAAGCCTGCAGACCCCCAAGCCAAGAACCAGGCGCTACACACCTGGGGTACAGGATGGGTAGCAGGATCCCCTCTTTTTTGGACACTGCTGGGAAGCCTCCTCCCCATTCCTCAGACTGCTACTGAGCTTCGCGGCCCCCCTTAATTACTACCGCGCTGCTTAATTGGGCGGCCCCGCGAGCGTGTGCGTGTGTGTGCGTGCGCGCGCGCGCGTGTGTGTGTCGGGGGCTCGGGGGCGTCACTCCTCACACATGGGGCGGCCGGGTGGAGTGGGGGTGCTGGCTCCCTGCCCAGGAGCGAGACCCCTCCCCCAGCCCCCCGGCCGCTGGAGGATTGTGCAGCTCAAACAGATGGACCGAGCCGAAGGGGCGGGGGCGCGCTGACGGGGTGCGAGACGGCAGCGCGGCGGCCGGGCCTCCCGGCGCCCTGACAAAGGCGGGGGCCGGCGGCGCGGGGCGCCTTATCAGCGCGAGCAGACCGGGCGGCCGGGCGGGCGCCCGCGGCCGCCGTGCAGGCGCACAAAGGCCCGGGGCCGCGCGGGGGGGCGGGGGGCGCGAAGATTAATTGCCCAATCAAGTTGTCGGCGCGGGGCGGGGGCGGGGCCGCGGCCCCTGGGGCCGCGGGGCGGCGCATAATGAAGTGTGCAAAAAGTTAATTTGCTCCGCGACTCGCTGCTCGCCACAATCAAAGGCGGGCGGCGAGGAGGGGAGGAGTGAGGAGTGTGGCCCCCGCCCCACTTGCGATCGGAGGGGGGGACGGGGGAACCGGGCACCCCCCCAGCACGGGAGGGAAGCGGAGGTCTCCAGACGTGATTTCGACCCCCCACTTCCGCCTGCCGTGTGTTCCCCGCAGGCCCCGTCCAGTCCCCTCGCCTGCACGCACAATGGTTGACATTTCTGGAGCGCGCGCTCTGTGCCGGGCACCGCGCCAAGCGCTTCCTGGTGTGATCTTTGGTTTCACAACCTGAGGAGGTAGGGCTAGGGAGCTGAGCATCCCGTTTTGTAGAGGAGGGGCCCGGGGCACAGAGATGCTAAGGAAGTGCTCCAAGGTCACACACAGGACACTTACAGGGCCGGAGCCGTAAGTGGGAAATGTCACTGTGGAAAGCGTCATAGACAAAATACACCGGACAATGTGGGGGATGATTTTACTCAAGCTATTGCAGTAGGGAGGGCACCGGAGATCCCAGGATCCAGATGTCCAAGCAGGGGGCGTTTGCCTTAGACTTACAGGGAGGAGCATACGGGTTACAGGTGGGGAATTTAGAGCTGGGATTGTCTTGCAATGGGGGAAGGCTCCTTGGTCAGCTGAACAGGAAATGTTTGTTTCTTCTTTCAGATGGCACAAACAGTTCTAATCTCAGCTAATCAACCACGAGACAAAGAATGGGAAGAGGAGAGTCTTTGGCTTTAACAGCAGGTTCAGGCAAAAGAAGAAAGGTCACAGGCAAATGAGGGAGTCGTCCAAGTCTTAGGAGAGTCATGAGAAAGATGGACGAGAGTCTTAGATCTAAGTCAGATGAGGAAGGTGGTTGCTTGTGGTAAGCCATTTCTCTGGACACAGAAGAGTAGTGGGATTTCAGAAAACAAAAGGTTGGAGGGATTTCTTAACCATCACTGTTTTCTAGGAGCACAGCAGGGCTTGGGTAAAGTTTAACATTGTCAAAAGGTTGGCTGATAGCACAGGTAGAGGCCTGGTACCCTGTAACAGCAGCTTTGCTGAGTGCTGGCTGGTGAGGAAGTCACTCCCCTGGGCATGCGACCTTGGACAAGGCATTTAACCTCTACTCCATAAAATGGAAGCGATGGTATCCCACCTCGTAGGATACTATTATCAGTGAGAGCATAAACAGCAAGCACAAAGCAAAGCACCTGGAACATGGTAGGTGCTCAATTAATGTCAGCTACGAGTACTACCATTTTCTCCAAAAGTAGTGGTGTCAGGATTTGCATTCAAGCTGCATGAGTTTCAGAGACTGCACGCTTACCACCAGGTACACTGCCAGATCTCCACGTACTGATCCAGTATTCAAACTCCAAACACAGCCCAAACCTGTGGCCCTGGTACTGGGCATCCTGAGAAGTAAAGGAACAGAGCTGCCTGCCCTGGGCTGCTCATCCCGTGAGGCAGGCCAGCCCTAAATGGACAGTGGCACAGAAGACACAGTGGCCGTGAGAGCTCAGGGGAAGCACCAAACCTGGGTTTAGGGACAGTTTGGGGGTCCTGGAGGTTGTGTCCCAAATGTCCACAGACCAGGTGGCACAGAGGAGCAGCCACCCCAGCCCCCAGGCCCTTCAGACTCCTCAAGAAGCGACTTCCAGGATGGGTTCACCATACTGCCTGGCAATGACTGGTGGCTCCTGAGTCCTGGTTCTCTGACCCACTGCCCAGGCCTGACTCTGGGCCCAGGCAGGATCAGGGGATTAGGGAGGGAGCCCTTGAGGGGGACAGGAGCCAGGCTCACAGGAAAGAAGAGGCAGGGTTACAACCAAACCAAGATTTATGGGCCCCCATCATAATAATGAAAGAAAGAAAGAAAAAAGGGACGCGTGTTCGGCAATGCCCAGGGACCAGGACTGCTGCCCTGTTACCAAAAATGTCGAAGCTCTCGACTCTGCAAATTAGCATAAAACATGCTGTTTTGCATCGATTTGCATGTCATTTGCATGCTAATGACTTGACGCCACAATGCACCCAGTCCCCTAAACAGCTTCTGGTCCTCGCTTTTCTCCTAGCCCCTGCCCCTTGTCTTGCATTGAGAAGACCAGGAAATCTGGGCTCTAAGCTAGGCTGGGCGACTCACTCCCTGTGGGGCCTGGGCTAGTCCCTGCCTCTCTCTGAGTCTCAGTTTCCCTGACTGTGAGCTGAAGGACACAAACCGAGAAAGGGTTTTCAAATTATGCTCCAGTAGCCCCCTTGGGGGCTGCAGACACAGAGACGGGGGAGCAGGTGGGGCGGGCGCCCCCCCTTCCATCACTTCCGAACAGCTGGGGCTCTGAGTAAAATTTCTCTTCAGCAATGCAGAGCTTCTCTGTTAAAAACAAAGACCAAAGTTTACAAACAAACGGACTTAGTTATCTCCAGCAAGTCTTTCTAGTACAACATTCTCTAAAGACTTGAATAGCAGTAACAATCGGAGTTAAAATATATAGCACTTAGCATGTGGCAGGCCCTGTTCCAAGCAACAGCTACACATAACTCTATCTTGACACAACTCTGGAAATACCTACTATTATTATATCCTCATTTTATAGGGGGATAAAATGAGGCACCAAAAGGCTGAGTAACTTAGCTAAGTTTAAACAGTTCAAAGAGTCAGACAGTCTGGCTCTAGAATTTACATGATGAGTTTAGCCAGGTCAATTCTTCCATTATACAGATGACATTGAGGCTCAGAGAGGGAGAGAGCATTTCTAAGCATAGCAACTAAACTGGCACTTGAACCTTGCTTCCTGCCTGAGCCCCAGGTTCTTTGCCAGGGGAAGGATGGCCAGAGAAGAGAGGTCCAGGATTTCAAAGATGCTCAGGACACTTCTCTCTTGGTCCAATGGACTTGCCAGGATGAGGGGTGGTTTCTTCCCTGGCCACCCCCAAAGCCTGCTTCCTCCTCCTCAGCCAGCCTAGTACCAGCTGGTAGACTTCAGGGAATAGGCTCCAGAACCAACCAGGACAAGGCCCTAAATCAAGGCAGCCAGCAGGCTAGTGAGAGCACCAGGTGTGCCCGTCAGAGCCAGCACACAATGCCCTGCCGGGCTGTGCAGGTGGACACCCTGCCGAGGGGGACTCCACGGCAGGGGGCTGGGGGGGCTGTATCTCTGCAGGGGCAGCCGTGCCAGGCCAGCAGGTGCTCAGCCCCCACCCCTTGGGGGTCCGGTTGGGAAACCCCCAGATGCAGAGATGACTGGCCTCCCTGAGCGGTGCCCCACAGGGGGCCAGTCTTCCCTTTCTCCATTGAGTGCCCCTCGATGGCACCCTGGCCTTTCTCAAGCCCCTTCCCTCCCACCAACCTCTCCCTCTGATCTGCCCCCTCCCACCCTGCTCCAACCACCCTGGCCTTCTCTCAGCTCCTCCCTCACCCCAAGTTCTGCCCTGCCTCTGCACCTTTGTGTGTGTTGTTCCCTCTCCCTGGAACACCCTGCTTGGCCCCTTCACACCCTTCAGGTCTCAGCTCCAGAGCCACTTCCTCAGAAAGGCCCTCACCGGATTGCCCCATCTAAAGTCAACTACCACTACTTTCCCTGCCCCCTCCCTCCCTGGCACTTAACCTTGTTTTCTTCTCGGCCGTTATTACAATCTGAATTTATCTTGTTTATTTATGTGCCTCCTCGTGTAGTGCCTGTCTCCACCGCTAGACTCACTGCAGGAAAGTCAGGACGGTGTCTGTCTTCCAGAAATATAGTTCTCAATAAATATTTGTGGAAGGAATGAAAAAAGAGGGAAAACAGTAGCTGCCGCTGATTTATTTGGTGAGTGTCGGTCTCCCCCTCCCCCACCCCGCCCCGGAATGTCAGCTCCAGGGGAGACAGGGATCTAGGTCTGTTTTCTCTGTGGCTGTGATCCCAGGAGCTAGCACAGTACCTGGTACACAGTAGGTGTTCAATAATATCTGTTGCATGAATGAGCCAAGTGTGCAAGGTCTCTGCACTGGGAGGCAAGAGACCTCGGTCCCTTCGCAGCAAGCCACTGATGGGGTGTAGGACTCTGGGCAAGTCCCTTCCCTCCAGGGACTTCGATTGCCCCATCTGAAAACTGGACTCTGGAATCCCTGCCGCCATCACCAGGACTAGGGAAGGTTAGGTGCGGCCCACCTCCCTCACTCCCCAGGGGAGGCAGATGGGGCAGATACCAGGAGTCAAGGGACAGGCAAACCCGGATATTGATCGAGACATGGCTACCAGGTGGCTTTGTGACCTTGGGGAAGTCACCGTCCTTCTCTGAGCCTCCATTTCCTCATTGGCAAAAGGGGCACAGTAGCTGTGAGGACGACATGGGACAGTGGAAGGAAAAAGCGTTGTGCCAACTGTAAAGTGCCATATGCCCGAGCAAGTCACTTCTCATCAGCCAGGCCTCGCGGCAGAGTGGTCGCTATGTGGCTCCGCCCAGCACGTGCTCTGCTTCCTTATCTATAAACGGGGCCCCCAATAGTGCTGGCCTCCTCCAGGGCTGTGGTGAGGATTAAAATGAGAAAATATATGTGTGGACCTGGCACATAGTAGGGGTTTTAGAACCACAACCCTACTAACTGCCTCTGTAGCTAATCCTGTCCGTTATTTGGATTTCCCAAATAATCGGGGCACAAGGGAGACCCAGGGTGAGGGTGGGGGTGGGCATGGTTTGAGTTCAGTGTCGGGGGCGGATCCGGGAGGATGAGGCTGGAGAGGTGGGCCAGGGTGAGATCAGGGGGCCAGCCCCGGGAGCTTAATGGAGATGTAAACTTTGTCATGGAAGCAGGGGGAGCTATAGAATGATTTTACACAGCAAAGTAAAATGATCTGATCTGAGTTTCAAAACAATCCCTCTGGCTGCCAGGCTGCCACTATGGCTGGTAGTTTCCCATGCTCGCTACCTCCCTTTCCCTCAGTTATTAGAACCCCTAGATATAGCTGGGCACATGGACCCCCAGACTAGAGACCACAGTTCCTAGCCTCTCGCCATTAGGTGTGGCCATGGGTCTCCATTCCAGCCAAGAGGAGGTAAGAAGACCACCATATGCAATTTCTGGGAGAGGTCTTTGTGGAGAGGGGGAACATTCTTTGCCTCTTCCTCCTTCCCTTTGGCTAGAATGTGGACATGATAGCTGGAGAATGAGCAGCCATTTTGGACCAAGGTGTTGAAAATGGTGGAACACAAGATAGAAGCAGCTTGGGTCCCTGGGCATTGAGGAGCCATCTTGTCAGCCTAGGGCTGCCTACCTCCAGGCTGTTCATAAGAAAGAGAAACCACTGTTTGTCTCCTTTAAGTCACTCTTCTTTTGGGCTCTCTGCCACGCACGGCCAACTCCAAAACAAACAGATCCAGTTAGCACAGATGATCTTGGAGCTCTGTGGCCTACCTTGAGGTGTATGGGGCAGAGGACTCTGCTGGCCTTCTGCTTCCTGCCCACACTAGCCCTGAAGCTCCTGGCCCAGGCTACCTAGCTCAGCCCAACTGAGGGCACAGCCCAGCTCAGCCCCACTGGCTGGCATCCCCGGGTAGACTCGGCTCTGACAGGTGAAGAGCTCCCAGGGGGCCTGAGACCAGGGATCTTGCTGCTATCCTTGCAGCTTCGAGGGGCAGGGCAGAGAGGACAATGGCAGGATGGCATTGTCTGTCCTCATGGGCCACCTCCAGCCCCTTGTTACCCACCCTCCACATGACACCCAAGAGACCTTCTTAGTGTCCTCTCCTGATCCCACAAATTCTGCTTTGGTGCCTTCCTGTGGCCCCCAGGACCTTCAAGATGATGTCCAGTCACCTCTCTGGCCCACCGGGTTTTGTAGGATGTGGCCTGATTCTTCAGTGAAACACAAATCCCCGCTCTGCCTCTTCTGAGTTCTGTGACTTCAGGTAACTTGCTGAAGCATTTTAGGGTTTACTTCCCTTATCTCTGAAAGGGAGATGATTAGAACAGCGACTTCCTATTGTTGTGGATCTTCAGTGAGTCAATGTGTCGGTTCCAGGCATTCACTGCTGTGTAACAAACCACCCCAAACACAGTGTTGTAGTCAAGTTCTCATGCTCACAGATTCTTAGGGGTCAGGAATTCAGACAGAGCACAGTGGAGATGGTTTCCTTCTGTTGTACAGTATCTGGGACCTCAGCTGGAGAGAGTCAAGGGTTGGGGGCCAGAATCATCTAGAGGTGTCTTCCCAGAATCATCTAGAGATGTCTTTCCTGACATGTCTGGCAATCGAGACTAGTTCAGCTGAAGCTATTGGCCAGAACACCTATGTGTGGCCTCTCCTTGGGTCCCAGGCTTCCTCACAGCGTGGTGGCTGGGTTCCAAGAGGGAGTGTCCCCTGAGACCCAAGCAGAAGGGACATGGCCACCTCCAACCTGTCCTCAGAAGTCATACAGAAGTCACTTCTGCCACATTTTGTTCCTGGAAACAGTCACAGGAAGAACACAGACCCTACTTCTTGATGAGAGGAGTATCAAGGAATTGGGAACTATAATTTTAAACAACTGACACAATGCCTGGCTCACCATAAGCACCCAGTAAATGTTAAAATAACATCAGGGTCTGGTGCTCTTTGTGTTCAAACAGTCGTATCAGCTGACACTAGGCATAAAGGGGTTAATGCAGAAGGCATTAACAGCCCCATGAGGCCAGAACCAGCACGGAAAGATAGAGCTTGGATAATAAGAGCTAACATGTCTTGGGTTCTTACTGGACGCCAGGCACTGAGCCAAGCACTTTCCATGCATGATCTTATGTAATTCACAAAGCAATCCAAGGGGTAGGTCCTATCATTACGCCCATTTATTAATGAGGAGTCAGAGGCTCAGAGAGGCAAAGGGTCCTGCCCAAGGCCACACAGCTAGGAAGAGGCACCGGCAGGATTTGAACTCAGGCAGCATGTTGTCAGAGCTGGTCCTCCCTTCCTGAGACGAAGCTGGGCAATAGCCAGGCTGCCAGGTGGAACAGGCCGTCCTGACTGTTTGGTGACAGACAGGGAGGGCCTGTACTGCTGGACAGAGAGCCAGGACCAGGAGGTTTGTCAGCTGTAAGCCCACAGTCGCAGGCTGGGGGAATGGGGCCAAGACCTCCGTCTGGATGGATGGAAGAGGGAGGGAGTGAAGAGAACCCAAGGAGCAAGGCAGAGACCCCCTCCAGAGGCAGCAAAGCACAAAGGGATAGAGATAAAGCCCCAGTCACTGGAGCTGAGCCCCAGGACCCCACGGGGCCCTGAGCTCTGCTCCCTGGAGCCCCCACCAGGCCGTCACTGGCCCCCCACCTGGAGCAGAGCTCAGGCGGCTACTGGAGGTCAGGAGGCCTCAGCTGCAGGGGAAGAGCAGGAGGGCGGGGAGAGGAACACCACTCAATGCTACAGCCAGGAGAGGTCACAGAGGGGACTCCCAACAGTGACGGGTCTGTAATGGCAACCAGCACACCTGCAGGGGCTCCAGACGGCTCTCCCTGGCACCCTCTGGCCTTGACTTCTCTTCTCATCTTGACGACTCCTGACCCCTCCCTTCTCTCCTTAGTTCCATCCACCCCCCACTCCCATTTTTTCCTTCTTTCCTTCTATCGCTTCTGCCATTCCTTTCTTTCATATTTCTCTCCCTTCTTCCCTCTTTCCTTTTTCCTTCCTTCTCTCCTTGCCTCCATTCCTTCCCCATTATGAGAACTCCCAGGGAGAAGCTCCCCCAAAGGCAGGGGAAATCTGGGCTCGACCTAGTCGTGACCATGGACTTCACCATAAGATGAAACATGACTCCTAAGCCATCACAAAACCAGTCCCAACAGTGCCAGGGGTCTGGGATGACCTCCTTTGTCTCTCCCAAAATCAGATGAGGGATGTCAACTCCTCCCGGCCCCAAAGTCAGGGGGGTTGCCTCCCAGAGCATCTGAGTGTCCTGAGTATTACCAGGATGGGGCTTCCGGGGGCACTGGATTACAAGCCCGTTCACCTCGGACTAACTGCAAGCCCCTCCGAGCCCTGGTTTTCTTGGCTGAAGCAGCCTCATGGGTTGAGAAGAGGGTAAGACGGACGCCCCCCACTCGCCCTGGGTCACAGGAGTGCTTCCGCCCTGCCTGGTCCCTTGCTGGCATGGGCCTCTGACCTTTCTCCCAGGCCCGTGGGGCAGAGCCAACTCCCAGCTGATGTTGGCAAGCGGCTAGGAGGGTGGACCGGCAGGCTGTCAGGGCCGGCCTTGTGCCCAGAGAACCTTCTGTGCCACTGTTCCTCGGCCAGGCAGGCCCAACCCACCGGCCACTTCCCGTGCCCGTGGCAGGACAGGGCTGTAGGCCCCTCCCCTCTTGCATCTCGCTCAGCTGACCAGGGTGGCCACCCACCTCCCTCCAGGCCCTGGAAACAGAAGTCTCCAATATAAATGCAAATTCACTGCAGTCCCCAGTCTCAGGCTGGCAGCTCCAGCGGGGCTGCAGGCTGGGAACAGGAGCTGACACTGGCCCAGAGGAGATAAGGCCCTTCTGGGCCACCCCCGCCCCCTACCCTGCCCACTCCGCAGCCTGTCGGCTCCACAAACACCCCAGGGAGCCCCAGCCCTTCCCCTCTGCTGCCCCATAAGGCCTGTGATGAGCATGCAAAGCCCCCCCCGACACACACACACACACAACACCTTGCTGCAATCAAGGAGGACCACCGCCGTCCTCAAATCATGACCGTGTTCCACCCTCCTGCCCTCTCAGGAAGCAGGCTGGAGAAAGCACTAGGGACACGGAGGCTAATTTCTCCCACCATCCTCCACCGGGCTCAGGGCCACCACTAGCCCATAGCATTGCTTTGTGTGAGTTAGAAACAGGCAGCCCTTCTTCCTGGTGAAAGGCACAGCCCCTCCACAGGGTTCCTGGCAGCCTCTTAGTCCCCAGCGGGGCACCCTGGAGCCCAGCACAGCCTGCATGACTACACGCCACAGATCTTAACTGGACCCATCTCCTCTTTGGGACTTGGTTTCCCCTCTGGCTTGGGGAATCACCTAGGGAGACCTCCCAAGTGTTGCACCAATCCACTTAGGTTGAGCCCCTGGAAATGGACAGGGCAGCCTCTTGGGTAAGACCTCTTCTGGCTCCAATATTCTCTCATCCTTCCATTCCTAGGTCCCAGACATTCCAACCCATAAGCCACTAACTTCAAGAATGCTTAACAAGGGAGCAAGGCATCTCTGGCAGAAGATTCTATGATCCACATGAGACAGAAGTTGGGGTAGGCTTGGGCTCATGAGCAGGGCTCCCAAAAGGCCCAGGGTTCAAATCTAGTACATTCTGGCTCCAACTCTAATGTCACCTCCTCAGAGAAGCCTCGGCTGCTGATGGTCTCATATGGGGCATATGGGTCTCCCTTCCCTACCTCCAGAGACCATATCATACTGCCTATTGGTTTTCTTCATGGCCTTTATCGTTCTGTAAAATTGTCTCATTCACTTATGCCTTCCATGGTTACACTGTCTCCCCTCTCCCTTATTAGAATTCAAGTTTCTACAAGAGCAGGCACCGTGAATCAATAACTCCTTCCTCGACACTTTCTGGGGGGATCATGCCGGATCCCCTGACACAGGGTTAGCATAAGGCGTTCATCAAGACAGCCAAGGGTGCTTAGCAGAGAGTCAGCACACAGTAAGTGCTCAATAAATGTTAATGGCTATTGTTATCGTTGTCATGAAAAGGCTGTGGGCGTCCTGGTCCCAGAATTCCCAAGTCCTGACACAGCCTCCCACAAATCCCAAACCCGGCCCTGGGGCCAAGTCATGCTTGCCCATGTACTCACCCCATGACCACAGGCAAGTGGCTGTTTCTCTTGCTCAGTCTCCCTGTGTAAAGTGATGTTGCATTGCCAGGAACGTCACAAAGTTGCTATGAGTGTCTAGTGACATCAAGAGGGAAACACACTTTTTAATCCTGAATATGATTTCAATACTATGAAAAACTCTGCGGGCCTCTCCAGATTACCCAGCCTCTGAATGTGATGGCCAAATCCTCCAGAGCCCCCCAGCACCCTCCGCCTGGAATCGCAAGGCCCCGGTCTCCCCGACCCCATCCACCCATGTCTTAGGCTTCTTTGAAGGAGGGGTTTCCATGAAGGCAGAGTTTCTCAAAGTTTCAACCTTCCCAGCCCCCACCAGCGTTCTGTCTGTATTTCCTACAATTTCTTAACATTTTTTTCTTTAAATTGCCTCATTTAAAAAAAAAATAAAGCCAATTCATGCTCATGGGAAACTATATAGTGCTGCCACTAATAAAAATTAGCATCGATTTTTATAAAAAGAGGATATATAATTGATAATCGCTAAAATAAATGCTTAAGGGGCGCCTGGGTGGCTCAGTCGTTAAGCGTCTGCCTTCAGCTCAGGTCATGATCCCAGGGTCCTGGGATCGAGCCCCGCATCGGGCTCCCTGCTCCGCGGGAAGCCTGCTCTTCCTTCTCCCACTCCCCCTGCTTGTGTTCCCTCTCTCACTGTGTCTCTCTCTGCCAAATAAATAAATAAATAATCTTTAATTTTATTTTAAAGATTAAAATAAAAATAAATGCTTAAGTAGTAAAGTCTGATACCCCCAGCAAGATGCGAGTCCTGATCTAAAGTTTTCAAGTTCACAAGATGAGGGTTCTCCGGGGAACTTTTCTTTTATTATTATTCCTTTGTTCACTGGACAAACGTTTCCTGAGAACCTTACCTGCCCAGCCCAGGTGTCAGGAGCTGTAGAAGACAGCATTTCCAGCCCTCCACACACAACGGTCTCCTTGAGGCAGCAACTTACACCCTTCCAAATACAATTAATTAGCAGAGAATCATCACCCACGCTGGCCTCACGGGGGCATTTCTTGGCTCTTTTCTCTCAACACCAGCTAATAAGGGTGTCTTACCTGTGGAGGTGTGGGAAGGAAGGGAGTGAGTAAAGTCTGTATTGCCAGGGTGACCATCTACAAGCATGCCATTGCAATCAACATGCCCACTAACTACTCCTGCTCAAAATGCAGTCTCCAGGACCCCCTACCCAGTGCCATCCATCCACCTACGTCGCCGATTCTTGGGATGGGCAGTTTAACACAGTGGCATACTGTTTTCGGGAAAGGAATCAAAAGTGAGACCTCTGGCAAATTTGGTAAAATATATCCTTTCACTGGATGGGCAGTTTCTGTCCTAGGACTTTATCTAAAAGAAATCATCACGAATGTGGACCACAACAGCTGCAGGATGTTCTTGGCAGCATTGCTGATAAGAACGAAAAGTTGCGAACAAAGTGAATGTTCCTCAATAGGGGATTCAGAAAAAGATAGGATTGTCCACGTGATGGGAAACTACGCAACCATTTACCGACGATGCTGTAAAAATGTTCATGCTAGATTATTAAGTAGAAAAGTAACAGCAAAATAGGATGTACAATATGTTCCTTTTTAAATATATATACATATGCATTGTAGAAAGATTGGGATGGATTTGGGCTGGAGAGGATTTCTTAAACAAGAAACAAAAAGTCCAAACCATAAAGGCAAATATTAATACATTCATCTGCATTAGAATTAATACTCTGTTCAAAATTCACAATAAAAAAGTGAAACGATAAGCCACAAGCTGGGAAAAGTTTGTAACAGTCTGACTGACAAAGATTAGTATCCAAAATATACAAAGAACTCCTACAAATCAGTAAGACAGAGACAATCAAAAAGAAAAATGGGCTAAAAATTTGAACAGACATAAAGAATAGAAAACACGAACAGCCAACGAACATACACAAAGATGTTCAACGTCTTAGTAACCAGCGAAATCCAAACTAAGAGTTTGTTTTGTGTCCACTAGATTGGCAAAACTTACAAAGCAGGACAAATCCAAATTTGATCACTTATGCGGAACAAGGATTCTTTGGCACTGGTGACAGGGGGTCAATTTGTACAACCACTTTGAAGAACAACTTGGCATTATTTTGCGCTTACTCTACAGCTCAGTAATCCCATTCCTGGTGACGTTCTAGAGAAACTTGTATGTGTGCACAGGGGGTGTGGGCAACAAGGCTCAAACTGGCAGGACTGAGCCCTTCCCTCAGCCCCCTGTCCTCAGGCGCCTGATAAATTCTTCTTCCTTCCACCCTGTCTTCTGACTTTCTGTGGACGACATTGGACAATGCTTGCCCTAGGGCTGGGGCTTTAACTCTTCCACACCGCTGGGTGGTGTGACCCAGCCCTGTTGGCCAGTCACTGGACAAGGCAGATCCCATGCTCACCATCTGAGTGGAAGCAGTGGGATGAGCTAGAGCTGTAGTGACTGTCCTGGGGACCAGGGAGAGGCCAAGAGCGCTCAGGGTGTTAGGAAAAGAGGTGGCAAGGTGACAGTCATCCAAATAACAGACTCCTCTACTGCAGTACAAAGAACGGGCAGCTCCATACGAGCCAATCGGAAGCATCCAAGATAGGTGGCCAAGGGGAGAAAAGCATGCGGAGCAGCTGCAGTTGTGAAAAGGGGGAAGTAAGGTGTGTCTGCGCTTGATCACTTGTATGTGCATAAAATGCTTCTGAGAACAGGAACTTGGCCTTGGGGGAGGAGAAGGGGTGGCTGGGGTCAGGGATGGGGAGAGGCTTCACTGCATCCCCTTTTGTACATTTTTATTTTGTGCGTTGCACGTGATCCTACGGAAGATAAATAGAGTAAAAAATGGAAACAAGAAGCAGTCACGGGAAATACAACACATATGTAACTATGATGAGAGTTGAATTAGTTGCTGATCATCAGGCGACATAATGCTACTCCCAGACCATTAAACAGGATTGCTGTCAACTTAGTGAAGTTTTTTTTTTCTTTTTAAGAAATTTTTCCAGCCAGCTTTTTTCAGTTTCAGACTTTTCCATGGACGCTTGAAGAGCCTGTGGCTTCTTGCATTGTTCCTGTTGGGCCAAATGCGTGGAGTAGATCCATTCATCACCCAACACCCAGCAGCCCACCGGTTCCCCAAGGGCGACCCGTAGGTACTCATTCCTTTGACTTAAGTCATGTATTGGGTTCTACACTGAGGTTGCTCTTCAGTTAGAGTGAGTCCAAGGGGAATTGGCATGACCCTCCCCTCAGTCAGGAGCCAAAATGCACAAGGTCACTTTCTGGACCTCAGTTTCCCATCGGGTCACACGGTGTGTATGTGTCTCTCCACCTAAGATACTCTGCTCTGTCCTACCCCTCACCTCCTTGCTCACTCTTCTCCCACCACACTGATTCCTTGTTCTTCGAACCCCCCACTGTGGTCGGCAGAATTCCAAGATGTCCCCCAAGATTTCCAGCTCTCCTCCCCAGCCCCTGCAGGTGTCTCGGTCCAGCAGAATGCCCTGGACTGTGGACGTGATGGCATTTACTCACGTGATCAGGTCATGATATACGGCACAGGTAAGCTGACCTGTGACTTACAGAACTGTGAGCTAAATGGGTACTGTTTTAAGCCACTAAGTTTATGGTAATTTGTTACATGATAATAGAAATTAATACACACACACACCAGGCTGGCTCCACTCTGGCTTTTGTCTGATGGGTCCCTCAGTCTGGAAGGCTCTCCCCACAGATCTCCACAGGGCTCACTCCTGCCCTTCACCCAGGTCTCTGTTCAAACATCCCCTCCCAGAGAGGCCAGCTGATCACACCATCCAGACGAGCACCACCCCCTCATTTGCTATTTACCCTCCTGCATTATTTTTCTGTATGTCACTTATCACTACCTGACATTTTAGAGCCTCCGCGTCCTCTGAATAAGTTTGTTTAACTTTTTACTTTGAAATAATTTAAAACTTATAGAACAGTTGCAAACGTCGTACAAAGAATTCCTGCATCTCCTTCACCCAGAACCCCCAAATGTTGACCTTTACTTTTTTTAAGAGAGGGAGAGAGAGGGGTTGCTGGGAAGGGAGATTGAGGATCTTAAGCAGGCTCTACACCCAGCTCAGAACCCAACGCGGGGCTTGATCCCACGACCCTGAGATCATGACCTGAGCCGAAATCAAGAGTCAGACACTTAACCAACTGAGCCACCCAGGCACCCCCCAAATATTGACATTTAAACATGTTTGCTTTATCATTCTGTCTTTGTATAGAGAGATTTTTTTTCTGAACCCTCTGAACCCTTTTTCTGAACCCAAGACTAAGTTGATTCCCCCACTGCCCCCAAATACTTTAGTCTGTAATTCCTACAAACAAAGACATCCTCCTGCATAAGCACAGCAAAATCGTCAAGATCAGGACACTGACACTGATGCATTACCACCATGGAATCTTCAGATCCCAGTCAAATACTGTCAATTGTCCCAGTAATAACATCTTTTACAGTAAGCTAAGGATTCATTCAGAAATACTCACCGTATTTAGTCATCTTATCTCTTTCATCTCCTTTCATCCACAACAGTCCCTCAGTTTCCCCTTCCCTTTCATTATCTTGACACTCACCCAGATTACAGGCCAGTTATTTCATAGAAGCTTCCTCAGTTGGAGTTTATCCAATGGCTCCTCCTGATCAGATTTAGGCTTCGCATCTTTGGCCGGGACATGGCAGAAGTGACAGGGGCTCCTCTCTGTGCGTCTCACCTGGGGGCATATGCCAGTCACAGGCTGTGCCACTTTGATCCCTTGACTAAGGTACTCTCTGCCCTGTTTCTCACCAGAAAATTACTCTCTTTCTCTTTGTAACGAATATGTTATCTTGTGGGGAGATATTTGAAGACTATGTAAATACTCGGTCCCCAACAAATTTTCACGGAGTAGTTTTCATCTTAGCACCCAGCAATGATTCTGCCAGAATCAATCCTACCATAATATTTCCATCCTTCCTTCTGCATTTGTTATTAGACATTCTACGGTGAGAAAGAGCTTTCTCTTCCTTCACGCGTGTGTATGTATGGATGTAGATGATATCCGTGTAGATCCACAGGGCCCTATTTTTATTCAGCGGGTTATAATCTGCTATGTCATTATTTATTCTGATGCTCAAATTGTCCCAGGCTCAGCCAGTCGCTCCTATGCTCTTCTGACATGTTCCCCACATTACTTGAGCCCTTCTACTCACTTTCTAGCACAAGGAGATGTTTCAGGCTCACTGTCTACCTTCCAGGCCCCAGCTCTCAAATCATCCTTCTGCCCAAGGAGCCCTGGTTCCTGGCAGTGGAGGATGCCGTACTAACACAGCAAGATCTGGATGCTAGGAGCACTCACAGCTACACGGGTGTGAGTGCTCCTGGGCTCTTTGTGGACGGAGCTGGGCAATACGTGGATTGCAGGATGCCCCTCACACACACGCGAGCACACCCATGCATCTCTGCTGATCTATCTACACGTGTCCAAAGTCGTGAGTTGACTCTGACCCCTCCAACTCCATCCCAGCACATAGGAATCACCGTAGCCTTTGCTGTTTCCATGGTTCTCATTCCCTTCTCCGACAGCGAGAACCTGGCCTCTCGTTTTCCTCAGTATATTACTTACTCGTTCGGTCCCCTGACCCACAGAGCCCCGGCCTCACTTGGCTGCCTTCCCTCCTTGGCCCCACACCCAGCCCTTCACCTCCAACAAATATTGGGAAATGAAAGGAGGAAGGGGGAAAGATGAATTTGTTTTGAACTAGTGATACGTTCACTTGGTACCAAATAAAAACTATGGGAAAGTATACAGTGAAAAGTCTCCCGGCCTGCCCTGGCTCTCATTCCAATCTTTGTCTTCCTCTCCACTGGGACGAGTACGATCCGTGTGTTACAGGCACAGGCTAATATAGAGCTACTTCTTAGTTCCCCTCTCTTCACAAAATAGTCCTCATCTTGTTTGCCTTGCCAATACTTCTGGGAGATCTTTCTGTATTCGTACATAAAAAGCGGTCTCATTCTTTTTGTGGCTGGATAGTATTCTTTTGCCCTACTCCATTCACTGAATCGGTTCGCCAATAATAGACCTTGGGACCGCCTCTAAGATTGCAAGACCGCAATAAGTAAACTTGAATGTATTCATTTCACATGCGTCTAAACACATCCAGAAAATAAATGTTCAGACGTGGGATCACTGATGTGATCTTATGTGTTTATGTTCAATGCTCTAAGGTCTGTCTCCCCTCTTAGAAGAGGAAAGGGACTCTGTTCCACTCACTGCTGTTTTCCCAGCACCAGGAAGCACTCGAATACAGTAGGCACTCAATAAATATGCGTTCAGTGAATGAACGAATGACCAATGCCCTCAGATTCTGCCGTTGACTGTCTCTAGAATGTGTGGAGCACCTGCTGTGTGCTCGGTGCCAGGCATCACTGTGCCAGTCCTCCAAACCTCCCTGTGACGAAGGGACTGTTTTGACAGCCCCACTTTACAGATGAGAGTTCTGAGGCCCAGAGAGGGAGTTCGGCTAAGCTGATGTCACACAGCTAGTCAACGGCCAAGCCACAGTCCCCCCCCCCCCCCGCCGCCCCGTGAGCCGGACTCTGGAGCCGCGAACAACCTCACCTACTGCTCTCAATATGTCTCTTCTCTCTCCCATACATACTTCAGTCATCCAGCCCCGCGTGGGCCCCTAGGCTTGCCTCACTGCTTCCCTGGACCTATCTACTTCTTCTCAGCCTCATCCACAGCCAAAGGCGTCTGCTCCCCACCCTCAGCCAACACAGGACAGGACCAAGGAGAGGAGCTGTCATTTCCATACAGCTGTCCCCGGGAGCCAGCCCTGCCTGAGCCCCCCCATTTTCCCTGAAAAGGCTGAATTGTCTTGGCCGTTTGGGGGGCAGCTCTCGGCACAGGCCGGGCTGCCTGGGCAGGGCCTGGCTGGGCTATTATCCTACATTATCTCACTCCTCTGCTCCTGAAAAGAGCCAGTGACTGCTCGCCCCCCTCAGCCCTCCCCTGCTCGCTCCTGTCTTTTACACTTAATTACCTCACTCATTACCCCACAGCCTGCAGAGGCCGGACCACAACTGGGGCGTGAGTAATCCCCGCATCCCACACCCAGCCAGCCGGCCAGCAAGGAGCAAATTGCTCACACAGCCCATCAATAAAGGAACAGGACCCACTCGGGCCTTCAGAGCAGAAGGACTTCGTGGCTGCTGCCGTGAGGGGCAGGCATGGGCCCCAGCCTCCCAGTTGGCCTTTGCCAGCCCTGGTGAGATGGTCTCCATCTCCCCCAGCCCAGACGGTGACCTTGAACTTCCCCAGGCCACTGAAGACACAGCTCAGTGCCTCTGACAGATGAGACAGCAGGGCCCACACCCCTTCCTCACCATAGCCAGGAAACTGTCCAAGCATGGCTTCCAGGCTTCCTATGGGATGTGACCCTACCAGCCAGGCCTCACCACCTCTACCCCTGGCAGTGGATACTCTGTGGGTCCCCTGTGCCCTCTTTCTCCCCCAGGTCCTTTGCACATGCTTCCCCTCCTGCTTCCCGAGCACTCTTCCTCAGCACCCAAGGGCCGCTTTAATTCCTA